AGTGCAGATATAATACAAGCACCGGTAACCGGGACCAAGACTACAACTCTACTCCACAACACCGAAAGCCAAAAGAACCTGCTTGATGTGAAAGGATGGCATCGGGGGAGTGAATGCACGTACCTGTGCGACTGGTCGGTCAGTTGATAGAGGTGGTGGAACGAAGACGACGGTGGCGACCAGATTGGGTTAATCTGTGGCGAGTCGGGAGAGAGGTAGTAGAGTCCGATGAGGCTTTTTGGCCAAAATGCCTCGTCTCCCGCTTTCGACATCACCAGTCGACTGAGGTCAAAGACGGCAACCTTGGTCTGACTGCTCTCGTAGGCCAATCGCAGGTGCTCTGCCACTCGGTGCACGTGGCGCGGCTTCAGAGACGCCTCGGCTAATGTGTGAACGACGTAGAGCGGTGGCGACTCCGCCTCGCCCACGTACAATGCCGATCTGGGGAGGAAAGGAAGGAAGTCTATCAGTTGACCGTGCCGACGTCTTAGACATCATTTTGACCCAATAATATTCAGGATAGGCCGTCCAATTATATGATATCATTCATATTGGGTTGAACATTGCTTACACAATGTCTGTGCAGAGAGGAGGGTAGCCAAGAGGGTCAGACTTACACAAATTTATTAGCTTGCCCGAGCTTCTCTTCCCACAACACCGACTGGGTCGGGTAATGTGGTAGTGCGTAGGACTGATTGAGGGAAAGTGCGTATGTAGTGAAGGCTATGCGTCGTAGTCTGTACGACTGCTCCACACACTGAGCGTCACGATGTAATTCCACAGGCAAGAATCGATCGGCTGTGGTTGGAACTGGGTAATCGTCCTTCTCTTTGTTGCTTACCTTGTTATTCAATAGGGATGGAGATGGTGCCTCCACGGAGAAGAGATCCACTACCGGCGCGGAGAGTGGCAGGTGCCAGAGAACTAGATGGGACGAAGAAAATAAGACCCAGACATTTTGCTATCATGTACTCACTCTCTCTTGGATGTACATTATGTAATAGCCGATCTTTACTGATTTCTGTCCACTATGATGGATACGCACGATTGAGCTACCGAAGCAACCTATACCAATAGGTAGTCTGTTGCAGTCTCAACAGGTCCACAATAAGTGTCTCACCCGTAAGTCAAACCGTGTCCTTGACCCGCCATTAGGAGCATTTGTCGTGAGAGCGCTATCCGCTTATTAAATCAGTGAAAGAAAGAAATAGAAGAAATAGTGTCAGACGCTTGCAATGGAGCGGGAAAATGTAGGTAGAGGGTAGATATACTTTACTGAAAGAAACTGTCAAATAAAACTCAATAATGGATATAGAAACGATTGTCAAAGCGAAGGCGGCTAACAGAAGTGGAGCAAAACAACATCGGAATCATTACTTTACATTCGTAAAGGGTCTAGAGGCATTGAAAATTACGTTGCATTCATAAAAAACCAGACTTACATTTACATCTTTCATATGTTACAATGGAGGGCTCGAGTGTAGCCACATGAGTTAATTCTAAAGTAGATGAATAAAAGTATAGTACAAACTCATATTAAAGATACAGCAACAGAAAATGAAAACAGTACTTGTCACTTGTAGATCCGGCCCCATAGGAGATGATAAGTATTGATAGGTCATATTGACTCTGAAACGAAAAAAATATAAAAAAATTATAAACTTGCATTAAATCAACACTTTTATTGTAATTGATGTCAAGAAAGGCAAAAACGCATCATCTTGATGGCTAAAGTAGTAACGGATTATTCTTTAAGGAAAAGCGCTTGGTACCGAAATCAATTCTCTGTTATGCGGCTGAGGCATATGAAAACAATGTGAAGTACAAACCACAACGTACTTAGCTATCCCTGTAGCA